ATTTAATTGCATTTCTTCACCAGTTGCTTTACAAAATTAGGTGGTTTTTCTCTATTTGATTCTTTCTATTTGCATTTAAGTGATTGATTGAATCCTTGTCAGTTTGTTAAATAAAGATTGTTTTTTATGGCTTTACTTCATTGATTGAAGAAAAGAACAAAAAACTGTTTTTTAGAAATGTTGTTGCGGCTGTTATATTGATAATTTGCGAAGTCCAACATTGTGGCAGCATATTTATTCTCTTAAAATGACAGATTTCGAATGATTGTTTGATGAATTAAATAATATACAATGAAAGAAAATACAAATAAATTAAACTTGGAAGGAACTTTGATACTAAGTATTGGTAATTAAAAAAAAAAAAAAATCTCAAATACTGGTTGAAGTTCATGTATTTTTATGGGCATATATGCAAATTTATCATTTTAAAAAACTGTCAGAACTGCTAGAAAATAAACTCCCAAGCACAGGTTGGGTGTTTTAAAAACCGCTACGGTAGTTTACTCTCAAAACCACCTCATAACCGCCACCATAAAACTCCCAAGCAGACCCTTAGATTTATTTGTATTTATTGCTCATGGACATCACTAAAGAATATCAGATATTTTAACCCAATTTCTTTGTGTGGTCTGTTCTCACCCGAAGAGAATACTTGTAATTAATTGTTGTAGTACACGAATCCTGTAGATGTAAAAATCTACCTGTACGGAAGGAGTGATTGATCCCGTGAGATTGAGGCCACTAGCGATCTATTGTACCTGCACACGTAAGAGAAACAAACGTGAAGCGATGGAAAATAACGGGGTGGCGTTTGCTGTAGGCACTCCGACGCTCAAGTCAACAAGGCTGAAAGAGGCTGATTTAGTGAAGGATAGGGAGTAGAGAGGTTATCAAAAGTCTAGTCGGGGATTATGACTACGACTGTGATGTGAAGTTCTTAAGCTGGAACTCCGGGGTCTGTAGGTGTAGTGTAATCTGTCTTGTGAGAGGGCTGACATCTGTTTAAATAGTGACTGTCTGGTCTCCCAATCCTGGTGGGATTGGTATTTCTCATAGCAATCTGTTTCCTTCAGGGATATATCATTTGGCCCCCCTTATCTTGGCATGAGAGGGAATTCAAGTATGACTCTGACACGGACCTTAGAGGAGTTAGGATGGTAGTGGATTACTTTGTTAGTGTTTGAGTAGGAGTGTGATTCGTAGGCGACCGTGGGCTCTGGACTTGTCCATGGGCCTAGGAGATGCACTGGGATTGGGAGGCCTGGGTCCAGATGGTTTGGGCCGACTGTACTTTGTGGCACATGGGCCTCATCTGGGGAATTCTGGCTCGAGCCGCATCGAGACTAGGCCTAAGTTTCCCTCTTTATCGGAAGTGTTATCTTATTTGGGCCGCGAACAATTTTTGGCCCTAACAAATCCTTAACTGGGACCTATCAGTGGTATCAGGGCCAGGTTACAATAGCGTCCGACAAAGAGAGGATCGAGGCTTTGGAGGCTGGACTCAGTAGAGTTCAAGATGGAATGCAACGATTGGAGTTAAGCGTAACTGATAAGCTGCATCGTTTGGAGGAAACCATCAACAAGCTGTCCAAGATTGTGCTTTCAACTAAAGAACCCTCCAGCAACAACAACAACAATTGGCGAGAAGGATCCTCCCGTTCGTACCGTGAGGGGAACCATGGCTGCATAAAGGTTTTCTCTTCCAAAATGGCAAAGTTAGAATTTCCGAGATACTCTGGAGATGACCCGACTGAATGGTTCAACCGAGTAGCTCAATTCTTTGAATTTCAAAGCACAATAGACAACCAAAAGGTATCTTTAGCATCTTTCCACCTTGAAGGAGAAGTCAACCAATGGTGGCAATGGTTGCGTCGAGCTTACCAGGAGGAAGGTCGCTTGGTTACATGGGAATCATTTGAGGAGGAACTGTGGGCTCGTTTTGGACCCACAGAGGGTGAAGATTTTGATGAAGCCCTATCCAAAGTTCGACAGATCGGATCCCTTCGCGATTACCAGGAAGAGTTCGAAAGGCTAGGCAATCAAAAGTAACAGCTTGAAAGACAAACCCATAACACAAATCAAAAGTAATCAAAAGTAAACAGAAAGAGAAACACTAGCAATCAACGATATAGGAGGTGAAAACAATAAAATTACAACCTTTGGGTTGATGGTGTCAATGGTGACAGCAGGAGGTGAATTGGAAGAAGCCATTGAGGGAGGAGAAGAGGAGGTTAGGAAACGAGAAGAAAGAAGACGGTTTTGATTTTGATTTTTTCTCTGAGAGTGAAAGCGACGGCTTAGATGGTTTCTGAGACTAGCAAAGAGTACGAATCTCCGCATCGTTTTTATATATAAAGAGAAGTTGAGAAGGAATGACAAGTACGAGTTGTCTGACAGTTTCCTTTGAACCGACTTCCTTGGTGTTTTGTCCAAGTCTTTGACTTCGTATAAATTTCGCGCCCACGGGTTTCGATTTTCGCTTCCCCTGTCCCTATGTTTTTACATCCCCAACTTTAACTTACCGCATTAAATCAAGAGTTTTTTCTTCCCTTTTTAACTTCCCTCTCTCCTCTTTCATTCTTTATCCAAGATGAAAATCACATATTCAAACAAAAGAACTCTTAAAATATTTGATTTCGTTGTGCTCTACACTCTCAACAATCATACTATCAAAGTATGTGAATATCTCTACCTAATGGTGTAACAAAGTGGTTTGAAAGTGTATGTATTTGGTCACAAAATATTTTTCTTTATACTGGGTGTACTGTCATTTACGAGTTTTGAACTTAAAAATATGAATCTGAAATTGGATTTGCTGTGTAAAAAGAGGTCGGCAGTTTTGGCTAAGATTAACTAACTTAATTCCTACAGAAGTGGGCATTTATTTTATGTTAACTGGCTTCTTTGATAAAGAAGATGACTTTTTGATGCCATCACAGTTAATGCAACTTGGCCAAATCATTCATATACAGATTACAGAATCCACAAACAGATTCATTTTGCTTCATTCTTATCTCACCATGAAATTTGCTTATACATTCACTTCTAATCCAAAGAATGTTACAAATAAGAGAACAAATACAAAATCACAAGTACATACACACACAAAGTGTATCTCAATATTATACCAATATCGGACTCTTGGCCTTGGATTATCTACCTCTCTAACCAACTTCTTAAAATCATAAGGCTTCTTCAAATGAAACACTGGTCTCAGGCAACCATTCATTGCCTTGGATAAATGTTCCCACTGTAAATTTCCCTGCTTCAGCGCGGCAAAGGAAGGTGGAACGTAATAAATATATGGCTCATTTAGTGGAGAAATCTAGTATTTGCGATGTAAACAGCTGTGTTGTTCAAGAAATTTAAGTGGGTCATGAAGCTTTTTCAGAAATCCTGAACTTGAGCACCAAATGTCAGCTTCATAGCCTTCATATTCATATTATATTTTATTCTATGGGCAGTTGGGCACCATAGTTTTGTGAAAATGAAGCCGCCTGTCTTTTGTTTTGGTCAAAACTTTGCGATGGAACAAGTAAAATGTCTACTTACTAAGAGTCTTTTTCATGTTTAATTTGTTTAATTAATCCCACCTAGTGTGTGTTAACTTGAAGATTAATGATATTTTAAAACATTTTCTGTGAGAATTGGTCTTATACATTGGTATAATATTCATAATAATCCTAGCCACCCACAACAAGTGTGAAGAGCAAGCGAGTTCAGCCAATGCCTTGGTCAAATTTCATATCATGATTGTTGAAAGATTATGATGGTGATGAGAAGACGCGGTCTGAATCTGATCTAGCATCGATTTTGCTATGAGAAGAGATCAAGTATTTGATTATTTTCCATTTGGGATGACTCATAGCATGTGATGATGTGAAAGCTAGGTTCAATACCAACTTCTTAGCCGATGATTGCGCCAACAATATAACAATTTGGATCAGAATTGTCGTACCAGTACATAGTATATATTATTTTCTTTCTTATTATCATTTATGGGATCGATGGTTCTCAAGATGTTTCCATTCATGAATAGTATATAGCAAGCTTGTGAAGAAACATGATGGGTGTTTTCATTGATAATCAACAATAACATGTCTCAAACATATAATGTTATACATGTTATTTAGCCAATAAGATGCTCCCAAGTTAACCAACCTTGGATGGTCGAGTGGTTGAATAGAAACTTTTGAGATATTATCTAAGAGGTTTTGAGTTTGATTTATCTTAGTTGTTAATAAAGGTAGTCATTAGAGGTTTACCCGATCGTTAACTTTAGGATCTCTGAGATTAGTTGAGATGTGCGTAAGCTGACCCTGGCACCTTGATCACCCAGAAAGAAAAAAAAAATATTCCCAAGTTTCGTGTTTAAGAAAGTTTGCATAAATTTATCTAATGATAATATTATACTACTAGAAAAATGTGTTTTTTCGACTCGGTATTGGAATAATGCAGATCTTCCAGAGAAAACTTCTGTCAGGATAGATTTTTTAGCTTGTTGCAATGCAATTTTGAAATAACAGTAGGTTTTGCGCTGTACACGGACGTGATTCTGTAGTACAATCGTGGCATGATTTAAGTTCTACACGGTATCAAACTATACATTGTATTCCATTACGATTGACACCATACTCTTCTAAACTAAACAAGTTAACTGTCTGCTCTGCAGTATACTTATTTAACATGATTTAGCAATTGAGTAGCTTTGAACCTTGCCCCTTTGTGAAGGTAATCTAGTGCCCCTACCCAACCAAGAAAGGAGCAAACACAACTTACAATTCAGCTAGCAAATTGCATTATATAATAATATGCCCATTTGGAGAAGCACACAGACAGTGGTTGACTGCCAATCTCAGGGCTTACTTTAAATTGGGCTAAAATGAGTATGCCTGCTTCAGCCCAAATATTTCTTTTTCTATGGAATAGCTAGCTTACACTGACGAAGTTTAATCAATCCATTTAATAAAATACGAGACTATGTTAAATTCTTCTTTTATACTTAGAAGGGGGCGCAATTGCAATACCCTTAACTAATGAGCAACAATTACAACCATGACCGCACAACACAATCACCCAAATCCTAAGGAAAAAAGATGGATCCACTGGAAAGCTAGCAACACATGCTCAATTTTAATAAATTTACAGAGCAAGAGAGAATGGAAATCCAGTTGCCCGCAACCAACTACCACCAGCAATGAAGCTACCAGGAGTGAACTGTTGTGCCTCTGTTGAACTTGTGATCACCTTGAATCCCTTCCATGTAACTCTCTTTGCAGTCCCTGCACCAGCACCACTGTTCTGATACTCTCCATAATACAATGTGCTTAGCGCAAAGTTACCACTCCACTCATGCCAACCAGCAGGCTGAATCACATCACTGATAGCTGATTGCATAATCACTGTTCTTGAATACTCCTTCCATGGTCTTCCAAGATAAGTTGGGAAACTACTCTGAACAGGCAGCAAATCAGAAGTGGCTCCAATTCTACTTTTTTGAATGACAATGCCTGTGTTTTGGTTAGGGTCGGTTCTTCCCTGGGCTGTGACCATATTCTTTTGGCCTGAATTGGGTTTTCGGGCATGTATGTCACAGTCTTGGAACACGGCGGCCGCATTGCCGAAGATGAAGTCGACAGTGCCAGCTACTAAACAGTTGATATAGAATTGACGATTTGAGTGAACATAGAGTGTGTCTTGATATGCCAACATATCGCATTGGTAAAATGCAGAGAGATCAGCCCCCACACGGAGAGCAACTGCTTGGTGCTTCGAAGGACCGGCTGTGTTTTGGAAGGTTATGTCTCGGGCTAGGAACCCTTCTCCAACAGCAGCTGTAGAAGCCATTGAAACACATCCAGTTAATTATTGAGGATCAATGTGATCAATTATGTTTGTTAAAAAAAGCAAACTATATTGCAGGTAAAGTTGCTAAAGCATCCAACATGAATGGACAACACTCAACCAAAACATAGTACAGTTTCTTCAAAAGATTTTGACGCAAGTTCATGGGAGAATAAACTTGAATGAAAATGGAAATTAATAGCTCTGTGGAGTTTTCCATTAGGAATAAGTCATTAATATTAGTCCCATCCCACCAAGGAACTAAAGGGTGGAGTACTTTTGTTTTAGTCTCTCATATGTTACTATCTGATTATGATGTATAGTTAAGTGAATAAATGTGAATTAAAGAGGAGAAAAATCAACTATTATGTACACAGAAAAGAACAAAAGCTAAAGACAACAGACATGTGAACAAAGAGACAAATAGAGTGCCGGTCAATTTCAAGTTCAACAGTCAAGTTTTAGCCATGTGAAAAGGTTACGCGGGAAAGATGGCAGATTAAAGTCAAAAAAGTTTAAAATAAAAGAAGACAGCATTAAGATAAAGCAATCTAATGCATATATTCTGAGGTAGCTGTAAACCATTTACTCTTTTTCACCATATCAACTTTATTTAGACACAGATGCAGAAGCTAGCAGGTAGCACAGAGACATAAAGACATAGCAATCAGAATATTTAAGATAAAGCTAGATACTTATGCAGAGATGAACAAGGGTTATCGAGCGTATTGGTTTTGTTCAGAATGTGTCAGATTGTGAAAGAGACGACAAGAAGAAAGAGAAATAGAAAAGATTGGAATGAATGGGAAGTTTCGTTTCAAATTTTCAAATAATTGACTTTTGGAAAAGAGAACAAGACCAACCATGTGCTTGAGTTGATGTGTTATTCATTCCCCAAATTCATCTCTAAATTTTCTCAATTTGGTGGACCCTGAAACCCAGATTTTATGGGTAACAACTTGCACCAAATGGATTTAATGCCCATACCACCTCTTAAATTGACTGTTGGAGACTTAGTCATCAATGGATAAGGGTGTCTACTGGCTATCTATATCACCGTTCTGGAATTGTAAAGCACCGTTAAATTAATCTCAGGACCATCATATATCCAGAATGTGCCATGAAAGTCCTAAAATATATAGATATCAGTTGATATGTTTTTGACATCACACAGTTGTTTGGTTGAATTCATCTTTTCTATAATATACTTTCAAACATAATCTTTAACACCACCAACTGTGTCCATTGGTTGGTATGTGGTTGATCTTAATTTCAAACTGGTTTTTAATGATATTAAGTTGACATTTAGCTACACGTATTAAACTCTTGCTGAATAAATCTACCACATTAATTAGATGATGGCAATTAGCTAGTAAATAGTTTGAATTATTAGGAGACTTACCAACTGTAGCAGAGTTGAATGTTGTGCTTCCATCAACCACATTTCTACTAGCGGTAATGATCGTATTTTTTCTTCCATCTCCGATGAACATTATGTTTTTCTTCTTCTTCGGCACCTCCACATTTTCTCTGTAAACACCTGCTTTAATTTTGATAATGTACCTCTTACTGCCTCCCTCCGGTGCAGCCGCCACAGCAGCCGACACAGTCTTATAGTTTCCGCTTCCGTCGGCTGCCACAACCACGTTTGGTGTCACCGTTGATGACTGCAACAGCTTCCTGTCCCCAGCCGACAACCATGACGGCCAACCACTTTCATCCACGACCTCCTCCTTCAGCTTCCTGTTGCTCGTCTTTTGCTCATTTGCAATATCAGTGTCTGTCATGTTCTTGATCATGGCAAGCACGTTACTGCACATTTTCTCAACATGAACCTCGCCCTTCAACAGTGCCTTCCTCACTTTTTTATCAGCATCTTCGTAAGAGAACCCGTCAAGGCATGTTTCCTGGTTGGTCATGGCGGCACTCAACAAGGTTTTGAGGTCATCAGCGTGTTGCGTTAGAGATTTCTTATTAGGGTATTCTTGGAGATCCTCCTTAGCTTTGCGCAATTCATCAAGAGTCTCGTCTATGGTCTCGAGACAGTCATGGAGAGCAGTCTTTTCACGCTTGGTGAGCTTCTTCCTGGTGGCGAGAAGCTTCTCGACGGTGAAATAGTTGTGCTCAACGGTGGTGGTGGTGAGGTTTAGAGACAATTCAATGACATCCTTTTGGCTGGTCACTTTCTGGGCGGCTTCAGGGACATTGGCAAGCGCTGAGAAGCATAAATCAGGAAACCTGGTGCTGCTACATGAGGTTTTGAGGATCCCATGATGAGGCTGAGAGTCGGAGGATTCATGTGAATTCACTCCAACAACAATGCCGATTACAGCAGCAACAACTAACAAAGTTGCAAAAAGAGCCCAAAAGAATTTCTTGTTTTTGTTTGAGGAGGAAATGTGTTTGCTAGAATTTGAAAATTTGGTGAAAAACTCTTTGATTTGAGTCATTTTTCTTGGGAGAAAGTGAGAGAAGGAGAGTGTAGTAATGGATGGGACAATTTGATGAACTAACATGCATGTATAAATAGGGAGTGAGAGGGAATTAAAAGGTGGCTCAATTTGACTCAATTGAGGGGCAATTATTTTTTTATTGCATATACAGTATAGTATTTGTTCTTATTGTATAAATATACCTCTAATAATTAAGGGACATTACAACTAGCAAAACCTTTTTAATAAGATGCATCTTTTTCTCTTTATATATTTTAATAAAAGTAAAATTGTTCTTTTCATGTAGGCCCTTGCCCCCGCTGTCCCCACGTTACAATTTGTGGTTCTTTTTCTTTACCGAAACAGGGTTGGAATGTTTTTGTCTTTTTTATCTTAATTATGGTTATCATCTCTATCAAATATTCTTCTATAGTATAGTCCTCTGACAAGATTGAAAGAAGCTGCCATGCCTTTGCCACCTACTGGTGGAGAGCTAGAGGTAGCCAAATAGTTTTCTTCTTCCCTCATTTATAAAACATTATTATTCCATTCATTTCAAGTGGGATTTTATCTCTGATGAGGGTTCTTTAATTGAGGTCTTTGATTGTATTATTTATGGCAATCAACCAATGAATGAATATTGGAGTATTTTCTTGATAGCTTTTCGATATTTTAAGTAATATATCATGGCTTCGCAGAAATGCAACAATTAATGTGGCTTCTTTAGACCAATCTTTTTCTTTTCATGAAGCATTGGATACCAAAGCTTGAGATGCTGATGCAACCTAAAATGATATAATCCATATGAGTTGGGCAAGGTAATCACCCTCTACTTTATATGTTTCAAATAAAGTAGAGGCTTGGTCTGATAATTAAAGCTTTAAGCCGCCTATATGGCCCTCCACCTCCAGCTTCAGAAGCAATTAGCCACCACAGGTTCCATTGCTGCACAATTTTGAAATGCATATGGGTGATAAAAAACAAAACAAAAAGTGGCTCACTGGGGTCAAGTGTGGGAGTGGTACTCAATATATGGCTGGCTAGAGACATGATGTCCAGCTATCATCACCTCCTTTCCTATCCTCAATTAATTATTTTAATCAACGTGTTTAAATCTGGCATGCGCCCCCAGCATATATATAAATTATACAACAAGATAGAGAAAAAGGAGCAAGTAGCTAGTTATATATAGTAAAGTTTCTTAAAGTAGATTAGATAAGTAAACTAATTGGGGTAACATATACAATCATCATTGCCGACAAACAAGCTTTCAGAATCGATACCAAGTTAAGCCTCCCTCCTTTCATATATTCCAGCTTTCTTCTGCTTACCAACATGTATTATACTCAGCTCTAAATACATTGTACACATAACATGAAATATTATATATGATTACACAAATACATAAAGTCATCTCCAAGAGAGAAGTTTACTGATAAAAGGAGTATTAACTGTGTCATATTACAGGTTTCGAGCAGTGTAGAAATCAAACCTCTTACAATTCTGCGTTGGACAAATCATTTTAGTTTACTCTGATACTAGCGCGGTGTTGTAGAGCTCTCCGACGGTGTAGCTTCCATCGAGAGGTTTTTCATAGTCAGTAACACTGAACAGCGTCAGTGTACTAAAACAGTAGTGGAATTTGCATGGAAGTAGAGCTAGCATGCATGATGTATGGTATGAAAAAATAAAACTGCTCACAGTAATTAACTTGAAAACTATGGGATTGTTAATATGTTTGTCTTCTCTTGCGTTGTCGTATTGGAAGTTTACACATTCTATAATATTCAGGTAGACAGGTAGCCACCACCGAAACGACAAACGTGTAAGATCTTGTTGATTTCAGACGCTAATTACTCAACTGATCTGCCTGCGAAAATTGTGTTCTTGAGTCAATAATCAAACCCAAATAAACATCAATTATTGGTCGGTGTCTGTATTCTTAAATCTTAATTCAATAACTTAATTTGTTTTCTATGCCGCCAATCTCGGTTGTTGATTATTCCAAACAATGCATATACTCTTATTTATTAAGCTTTTATCTTTATTGACCTACTCATATGATTCCTATATATATAACGTTCCATTACTCTTTTATCTTCTCTCTTATTGTATTCTTTTGTCCTATAATAATAACATATTACTTAAATTAAAACCTTATGATATTAATTGCAATTATTCACATATTCACATACCTACCCATTATTTTTTGCTTCGCTTTCATATATTGCATACTGCTACTACTACTACTACTACTACTACTAATAATATCCTTCCTCCCTTAAACTAGTTTTTAGGAATAAGCACTAAGTCTTTCAAGGTTTGAGTAGAATACTCATTGTCCCTTCCTTAAACTAACTTTTAAAAATGGGCAATGAGCCTTTCATTGGGGTAGTAGCCCGGGCCCAAGGTCAATCGGTTAGCTTTCCACGTAGACGTTGTCATGTGGGCACAAGATTTCGTTGAGGTGGTAGCCTAAACCTAAGGTCAATTGGTTGTCACGTGTTTTGATATCAATTGATAGGAATGAGTATAAACTTTATGTCAAAGGCTTAGGTGGTTGAGTAGAACTTTTCTTGAAAAACCTGTTTTGTGAAGAGAGGGTGTCTAACCCATTTATAAACCATGCCTAGGTGGTTGGGTAAATCTTACCTTAGAAAACCGATTTGTCAAAGGAGGGTGTCCAACCCATTTATAAACCACATGTCCATCTCTCTCCCTTTCAATGTGAGAATCCTAAGTTCCTAACACCACCATGCCTTCTGACTACCGACATCCAAGTTGACCTCTTTACCCCTTGGGTGATACACAGACCCCATCTATAATTATATATATAAAAAAAAGATACATAATAAAAAGAGAGAAGAAAAGGGCTTAATAATGTTTCCACCACGTTTTGTGTTTCCCTTTATTTAATAATTTAATTTCGTCAAAGTTGTTAAAAGCAAATAATGATGAACTTCCTCAAAAGAAACAAGCATTTAATATTTAATTATAATTTATATAATAATGACAAAGAAATGCAAGTATTGGGCTTGAGAGGTAATTACATGTTCTTATTGGGTTTAATTCTCTCAAATGGGCCTTCCTATTAATTGGGCTTGTTGTATAAAAATGGGCCTGAATCCAGCCCACTATGAAGCCTTACCTAGCAACAGAGTTCAGCCACGCTCCAGTTTGCTCTTGTTTTCTCACTGCACTTGCTTACTCGAAAGAAAAAAGAAATAAGGCGAAGCTTAGTTTTCCATCATCCAATCTCGAATGAAAGCTGGCGAAAAGAAGTAAACATATACACTTTAGTCGTCTTTCTATTTCAGAAAGCGTTCTCGCTCGCTGCTTGCTAGCAGACTCAGAAAGATTTCCTTCTAACTCGGTCTTCTGACTCATCCCTTTGCGCGCTTAGGTTTTGTGAACTGAAACAGCTACAAGATTGGCTGCTTTTTATGCTTCCAATTTAAAGGTGAATGAAGAAACTTAGATTACTATAGTTTCATTTGGGTTTGTGTTAATTTTCTGTTTTCTTTAACAAATTTTATAGCGAGGTAGTGGCTTTCAAAGTGTTAAGTTGCATAACCTATCTTCGTTCTATTAGAAAGACCTTATCAAGTAGACGGGGGGGAAGAGGATTAAAATCAATGAGAAAAGCCGAAAATTATTTACTTTGAGCTTTTTGTTAATTGAAAATTTGGTCTTGGTGAGCAATAATTATTTGTTTTAATATAATCTTATTCGAGTTGGTGTTGAGGTAGCTTGTTGTAACTTGAGTTAAATTGTAGCATTAACTATTTAATGATTCCCACTAGAGGTATTGTTATATTGGAGTTTTCGTATCTGTTATAGTAGTTTGTAAAGTTATACTCTGCCATGGTTTTGAGTTTTGATTTCATCATAATTTCTAAAAGCAAAACTTGTTGATTGTTTCTGTCCAAATAAAAAAGGAGATAAGCGAAACTCTGCTCACATTGTTTAGTGTTATACTTTGCGTCATACTCTTACTTATGACTAACCTGGTTAAATTATCTGTAGGGGTTATTACTAAGGAAGTTTTTTGTGTCAGGGTGTGGATGGTTTCTGTTGGCTCAAAAGCTTTACCATCAAAGAGACCTAGAATCCATAATTCAGTGGAGGACAGCTTGATGGGTGAGGATGATAAATCATATAAACATGGTTGGAAGAAAAAGAACTTGAACAGGAAGGCCAGAAAGGAAGTTTCGGTTTTGATGCTGTACTTCTAAGAAAAATGTATCTGGGCATGGCTATGATGGAACAGCAAAGTCCCACAAATCTTGGAACATCATACTTCGCAGCCACAAACATCGGTTTTTAGGTATTGCTACTTGTTTACTTAAATTAATGATGATTTTCGTAGTTTTTGCTCTACATCATTTGGGTTTTGAGATTGATATAATGTACTCATGTCATGTGTTTTTAACCATTGTTAATAATCAATTTGGATGGTGGCCGATGTAATCACGTATGCAAATTGATTATCTTTGTAGGCAGGTTGACCCTGATTTAGCAAAATACTTTTCGAGATTGCAAATCTTTTTGAAAGTAATGAGGCTGATTTGGAGGAGCATCAGTTTTAGTCGTATGCCCTTGAGGAAACTAGAGAAAGAGTTTGAACTTGCAACTGATTACATCATAAGTCACTTTGCAGACACTCCTTGAAGGCTGTGATGTGGACCACCTTTGTGGTTTCCTCCGAGGCTGTGCAAAGGTCTTCCTGCTATTGCTATGGATAGATCTGGATCTCATGTATGAGACAGCTCTCAAGTCTTTAGCTGTGCATATTCAAGATAACAGAACTATTCTGTTGTCGAAGAGACTCAAACTATGATATGCAAGGTATCTGATGTTTTTCATGTCAAGATAAGGTTATGAATTTTAGTTTTGCTGCAGTCTTTACTGTCAATTGACATATGCACTTTAGGAATAGATTTCTGCTTATCATTTTTGTTTATTTCTTCTTTTCATCTTGCTAGGTGATTGTTAGCAATGCTGTCGATGTGATGTGTAATTGCTATGGATCTCATGTCCTTCGGAGTCTTTTTTGTCTTTGTAAAGGAGTACCATT